TCAACAATTACGTTTCAACTTTTGAATTTGTTTCTATCAACTTTGCTTTTTTTTTTTTTTCCAATTCACACGCAATTTTCATTTATCAAGCTTGTCATCGCTATTCGCCCTCCCAGTCTCCCACCAACAGTGTTTCGTTAGTTTGATTGCTACACAAAGGTTGACGTTAACTATTATTTCTTTTTGTTTCTAAATATTAAAAATAAATACCTATTTTTATAAATATAAGAATAATTAGTTAAAATAATTATTTATAAAAAAATTTACATTGTTTTTAAATTCTTATTTTAATTATTTTATATTGAAAACTATTCCTTTAATAAAAATTCTTTAATATGTGCCATCGAGAAAATTTTAAAAAAATTATGAATTTGAAAGATAAAATAAATAAAAATTTTATATTTAGAGCTAAAAGAAATTGTTATTTTTCATTCTAATTCTTATAATTAACATCAGAGTGACTGCATAACAAACTTTTTTCTATGTAAAGACCATTGTGATCTAACAGATCAATTGACCTTGATTTTGATTAAATCAATATGAATAATATACACACACATATATATTAAGCTTTACAACTTTAATTTTCTTTAAAAAAAAAAAATACTTGAACCCTAATTTGCTTATCCATAGATGCATTCGCCTAAAGATACTCCTACATATTTTTCGACAAAACATATAGTCGGGGAAAAAACCTCCAACGCAAAAAAAGTATTTTATTTAAGAAATATTCACGAAATTAATTTAATTTTTTAAAGAAAATTATTAATTGATTATAAGTAACATTTCCCCCTAACTTTGCAAAGCATCAACGGTCAGTTAATTGAAACAACACGGGCGTTTTCAAAAAATAAGGCAAAAGCACTAACGAAACGCCGATAATGATAGATGGAAAAGCAAAACGAACAGCTGTTTTATAATTAATAAATTCCAATTAAGTACTGCTTTGCAATAAGTAATTTCTTATTTTATAATGATTGAATTAAATCATTTATTACCTTCATACTTATCTGATGTCCATTCATTGTGTCTGGATAACCAGAATATGTGAACACCTAATCCAATCTGTTATCCTTATCTGATTACAAGTTCAGAACTAATGTTGGTTAGGTGCATTGTATAAATATTGAAGAAAAGTTATACTTTTTAGCTCAGAATTTGAATTAGTTTGGTGCTTTTTATAATATCTTGTTTAGAGGTATCTGAGCATTAAATATATTTTTATTAATTTTGTCTCTAATTAATTTGCTATTCTCTCTCATCATTGTTTCTCATACTATATTTTCTTTCATTATTTATTATTAATGTTTTTTCTCTTGCTTGCCATCTTATTAAATAAGGGCATACTTAAAAAAAGATTCAATTTTTACATATTTATTTATTGATTTTAACTATTTTCTTAAATAATGTAATTTGGAGAAAATGATCTTATAAAAATGATGGGAGGAGTACTTGCTCAGTTGCTCCTATTCCTTTTATGAGATACAAATAACTGAATTATGTAAATTAATTAAACTTTATTAAGGACAATGAATATATTACCTTGTATAATTATTTATCAGTATAATAAATAAGGGTATTTAGAATAAAATAATTAATACAGTGCCTTGTGTAATTTGAAAAGTATACTAAAATAAGGCCTTTGTTTCGGGCCTTCTTAAAATAATGATTATGAATATCATTTAAGAAATATTTTATAATCAGGATTAGGAGAATATACTTGTTTAATGAATGAAATATTAAAAAATTAATTAACACAACATTTTTGGTAACTTCACATCACATCTTTGGTAATTTCATCCATACATCACATTGACAGTATGATATCCATTTTATTGAGTTGATCACAAGGAGAGATGAGAACCTAGCGAAGATGAAGTGATATATTAAAAAAAAAATCTTTAAAATATCAAAGTTATCATTAGTGTTTTAAACTCAGGATTATTTTTTTTTAAAAATAATCATTATTTTTAATCATAAATTTAAGATATACTCATAATGTCAAGAAGACATGTTAATAATTAATCAGGTAAGTTCCTCCAACAAATTTAATTTGATAATTTTTAAGGTCATCTTTTGACAAATTAATGTAAGAAAAGAATGGAATAAGAAATTTAGCAAAATGGCGAGGGCAATGTGGACATTTTATGCCCCCCAACAAAATGAGTGGCAATCAAATATGAAGACTATATGCTGCAATCAAAAAAGATTCAGATAGGGGTACTTTGGGCATAAAATTAATTGGTCCTTGTCCTTTTCTGGTTTCATCAAGCTGCGTCACAGCAAAGTCGTTTTTTCAGAATTTTGACACTGTGCTTGGTCGGAAGGATTAATTATGGAAAAAAAATTACTGTGCATATTTTGTCTTTTTTTTTTTTCCCTCTAAATGTTGCCAGCAGATAATTTTCTTATCATAGTACAATGGCAGTAAATAAACCGTATGTCAGAAATTTTTTAAAAGTGCACAAATTGAATAAATAAAAGATACTACCTCCGGTCCTTCTAGTTTGGAGAAAAATTTTTTGGTTCCAAAATATAAATCATTTATAATATATTTAATATTTATTTGTTTCTTAATTTTATCTTTACTCAATTCTCATTGAAAATAAAGAAAAAAATTAAAGAGATCTGATCATGCGAGAATGATTTGTAAATGTAAATGAAGAGAAAATTTTAATAAGGATAAAATTAGAATTTTTCTCAATTTAATGTATTTCCTGGTAGATGAGAATGTGTTATGAGAGAAATATCAAGGATTGGAGTGGTGAGAGTTAGTTAAAATTTAATTTGATCTTAAATATAAAATTACAATATATTTTTTCTACAATATTTAATTTTATGGTGATACATATGTTAAGGAGTTTTATAAAAAATATTTTTAATGCACATAATTAATAATGTATTTTAGACAATATAATATTTATTTATTACAAACAACTAAATTAACTAATTTGCTTAATATTCGTATAATATGAGATAGGTATTTTTTTTGCCAGAATATACATAATATATATGTATTACTGAAATATATAAAAATATTAAACTACTATGCAAGAAGTTGAAGGGATAAAATCACGTAAGAAAATGAAGGGATAGAATCAAGGTGCACAATTCATCCAAAAAAAAAAAAGTTGCACAAAACCAATAGATCGAAAAAAAAAATAAAAAATATGCAAAATTTAGATTGCATGAATAATGTGTATATATTTTGCATTAATCCACTAAATTTTACTTACTTATGTGAAAACTCGTTTTCCAATACTTATAATGTATTATTTTTGAATTTAATACTCCTCCGGTCCTTACTATAAGACCCATTTAACTAATTTGATTAAATTAAGGAAGTTAGGTAAGTTAGTTAATTATAGGAAAGTGTCACATTTTTCCTAAAACACCATAATCATCTTTCTTAATACCCCTTCCCTCTTCTACTTGATTATGGTTGAGAGAGTATACATAAGGGTATTTTAGAAAAGAAATATTGAGAGGGGATAAATCATGAATTATATATATTCAAAATAATAAATATACAACTTAGAGTAAAGTGTACTATTTAGGAAGAATGAGAAATAAAGACCTCAGAAATTAATAAATTCCAAATCATAATTCGTCATCACACTTTAACAAATTTTAACAACACTTGATTTACAAATAACAACATATTTTTGTAAGAATATCTGATTTAAAATTTTTTGATTTTCATGGTCATTTTTTGTCATTTTCTGTCATTTTCGCTACTATTTATGAGTGATATATAATAAATATTTCAAATTTTGTATATTGTATATATATAAAATATAGTTCTATTTCTATTGTACCAAAGAAAAGTAGAAGGAAGGTGACTGTATTTTACTGTAAGTTTTATAACAATCAATAATATAAGTCATTTTTCTAGAGAAGATAATAATACAATCTAACGTATAAACATTATATATTATTTATCAAACTTTTTCTTACCTATTTCATCTTAGAAAAAATTAAAATCTATTCTTACATGAAAATTAATACAGGGATAATAAAATTTCTAGTTACTTAAATTCATCTTAGTTGCCAATTTGGCCCTTTTGACTACAAGGACTAGTTGTATATGATTATAAAATATTAAAAATTTCGTTGATAAACACTAAACTATAGGGTCAAACTAATAATTGAAACAAAGCTGAACATCAAATATTTATATATTTTATTATGCAAGCTTTATATTTACGCCCAGATTTTGCTTCCTCTTAATATATTTTTTCTTTCTTTCTTTCTCACCGTGGGGCGTATCCAAAAACATCTTCAAATCTCTCTTTGACCGTCGTACGCTCTCTCGTCATCCTCCGTTGGCCCTTATAGCCGCTGTTGCAGAACACACACACACAGAGAACACGAAGAAGCACACCCGCATGGACCAGAGACTCACAGTCACGAATAGAGGGACGCTTCAAAGCTGAAACTTGAAAACTCCCTTCCCGTTCATTCTCTGCGAAAAAAATTATATGCAATTCTTATGGCTCTTCAGTAGCAGAAACACAGACACTTTTCTTCTTTTCGCCCGATTTCGATATCATCATTCGTTATTGTTAAACTCGCCCCCCTTCTTTATCTCTCTCTTTATCTTACTACAACCTCCCTTCCCTCTGCTCTGATCCGACGGCTGCGATCTTCTTGTTTCTCCAATCGTACGGCCAGGGGTCCTCATTTCTGCCGCTTCCCACATTCTCTTTACGTAAGTTCCCGACCCCGTAACAGGAAAAAGTATAACCTGACTTTCTAACCCACTTTTTCTGTGTGTTTATTCCCCCTTTTCTTTTTTGGAGTTAAAATAGATAGATTCCTTTTTGTGTGATACCACTAGCTTTGAAATACGCTATATCTCTATCTTTTTTGTGCCTATGCAAAGTTCTCTACTTCCTCTCTTGTTCCAGTTTTCGAATCTACTCATATTCAGTGGACGTCATCTTTTCCTTCTTCCTTTTTCCGGGTCGTCCCGATTCTTTATTCTTTATATTTTAAAGTTTTTTCTGTCCCCTTCAACAACAATGGACAATTAATTTTTCCATTGGGTTCAAGCTTCAATCTGTTTTTCTTTCTTACATGCAATGGCGTAGTGTTGAATTATGTATTACTGTAATGGGTTTCCTGATTAGTGGCCTCGGATGCGAGATTTAGATGCATCATGATGCTATGATCGTAAATTTAATATCTGTTTACATTAAATTTATTTTGAAGGGTTCAAACTTTATGATTTGTATATGTTTGGAGTTCTTGTTGTAGTTAACCTTTTGTCAAGTGCTTGTTGAAAAGTTTAGTTTCAAGAAGGGGTCAATTGCTCAGCCTGCTATTCTGTGACATGCATGTGGCTGTTCTGTGTTCAAATGCAGGATTGTACTGTTCTGCTGTTGCTCAGACATTAAAGCTGAAGTTGCATAATGTTATAGAGTCCTTCAGTATATGGTAGAATTTGTGATGTACTGTTGGTCAAATCTATAGCGTTTCATATTAAGGTGTTTTCTTAGATACTGCCATAGGATTGCAATTTAAGGTTTGATATGTTGAAACTTGTTTAGCTTCCTGTAATTGTCATGTCTGGTTTTTAATGTGGAACCCCAAGGTGGTTAAGTACACAGAAGTTGTTGGCCACTTGTTCATGTGGGCGGATCCTTGGGATTACTTGTTTTGCATTAAATGAAAACTAGGTAATGCCTTTTGTGCAGAAATAATGTTTTGAGTCCACTGCAAAAGAAAAGAAAGGGTTAGAAAAGGGGAAATCTTATAATAATATTTTGTAAAAATATTCTTTTGAATACAAAATATTCTTTTGAAACTCACTATCATTTTTACTTACAACTGTTGTACCTTATGTTGACCGCAATTGCGTTACACATTTATACTGCTTGCTATCATAGAACCATCTTTATTGACTTCTTTGGAGTTTTATACATCTTTTGTTCTTCTCTGAATACCGTTCTCTTGTTGATGGTTGCACATGATATGTGACTGAGATGCAATTCTGCATGGGACATTGTTAAAAGTATTATTATTCGTGCTCGCACCAGTCTTCCATAGTTAGATATAGATGGTTCCTTGATTCACATGGAGGAGATTATATGTTTCATGTCATTTGTTGCTCTGTATGCTTTGCAAGAGTGTTTTATTAAGGAGCATAGGTTACTGATGTCCTTTGTCACAGCCTCACAAGATCAGTGAATGATTTTACTTTTGCAGATTTAACAGTAGCGAGAAAGTAGCTTCTCTTCAATAGTAAATTATGGACACCAAGGGTCATCAAAGAGTAAAGAGAAATGACTATCTTGTTAAACAAAATGGTGGCTCTCATCTGTCAGATTTTGAAGATGAATTTGATCCATGGACTGCGTGGGCATACAAGCCTCGCACAATTACATTGTTACTGATTGGTGCCTGTTTTCTTATGTGAGTTTGCTGCCAGATAATTTATTTCCATATAATGTTGGTGTATTATTACTTACTCAGGAATTTGTCCTACATTATTATTGAGTTTGATCAAATTTTTTATTTTGGATGCATATGCCAGTTGGGCAAGTGGAGCACTTGATCCCGAAAGAGATGCATCAGGTGATCTTGTAACTTCTGTTAAAAGGTCTGCTCTTTTTGATATTTATAGGTTTCATATTTGCTTATTTCAAGGCTTACATTTTGTAGCTAGAATGCTTGTATAATGTTTTGACTACACTTTCAATTTCTTTTTAGGGGTGTATGGGCAATGATTGCAGTTTTTCTTGCTTATTGCCTGCTGCAAGCTCCCTCCACGTGAGTATTGTATTAATGCTTAGTGTAGTTTATAAATCTCCTATTCTAATTTCTTGTTGACTTCACACCTGTCCCATACTGTGGAGCTTGTTTTGTGGACTTTCTCGTTAGATATGAGAAAATACTTTTTCATTTTAAAAATCAGAAGAAGATCATGATGTTTAATTGGTTTCTTTCAATCTTTCTTTGTATTTCTTCAATTAAGATTATGTGGCCAATTGATACAATCACACTACAAATCATCCTGATGACAACTCAAGTTTGTAATAGCCCTTGGTCATGTGATCTAATGAAATCTGCGTTTTAGATGGGGTGGTTTTGCTGAGTTAGGATATTAGTTGGCTTAATTTTCGTGGTAAATTAATTGTTTAGACAATTATCTTTGTCTGACTTTCATTATTTTTCTGTCTTCATTCAGGGTTCTGATCAGACCACATCCTGCAATTTGGCGCCTGGTCCATGGCATGGCTGTTGTTTACCTTGTCGCACTTACATTTTTGCTTTTCCAGGTTGATTGTTTTGTTTCAATTTGACCTCCTTGCATTTGAATTGGATTCTTGCATACTTTCTTGATTTGCATATGTCGCTTCTCTCCCATTCTTTCTGTCTGCCCATTACAACTTGTGGGTGATATTGTGATAAACATGAAAGCAGATATAATTTCCTGCTTTATTGCCTCTAACTGAATCGACTGTATGCTTATCTGTAGCCTCACATTTATGTTTCTGCAGAAGCGTGATGATGCTAGACAATTTATGAAGTTTCTTCATCCTGATCTTGGTGTTGGTAATGCTATATGTTTTTCTTTCTCATTATTTTTCCTTTAATTTTATTTTTTAGCATTGAATTAAACAGGATTAATTTATTTTTGGGCTGAGTTGCTTTGAGACTTGAATTTTTTGTCAATTTGAATCATAATTATTTTGCTTTACTTTATGCAGAGCTTCCTGAAAGGTCATATGGTGCTGATTGTCGCATATACATACCTGAAAACCCCACAAGCAGGTTTAAGAATGTTTATGTATGATTTCTTCTTTCAAAACCTTTAATTTATTTTTTGCTTTATTTTTCTTCTTAATCCTCTGATGTTATCTTGTTATCTTTATGTTATTTAGTTCCACATGTAGCTGATATATATTTATATATTTTTTCTTTCTCAAGGAGACACTTTTTGATGAGTTTGTTCTCGCTCATATCATTGGATGGTGGGGAAAGGCAATATTGATACGTAATCAACCCCTTTTGTGGGTGTTGTCGATTGGATTTGAGTTGATGGAGGTTAGCCCTTGGTCTTTCAATTCTTTAACACCCTCCTTTGCATGGCTGTGCACTCAAGTCCCCTTGAAGAATGCTAGCTTTTTAAATTTTTCTATATTCTAAACGTATTTCACGTTGGCATATCCAGTTTACCTTCCGCCATATGTTACCAAACTTCAACGAGTGCTGGTGGGACAGCATTATTCTCGACATCTTGATCTGCAATTGGTTTGGTAAGAATTTGTGCATTTGTTTTTCCTTGGCTTGTTGGTGAGGGGAATATTGCATGTGTCGCATATATCTTGTATTAATATGTAAATGATTACATTCAACTCATTCATTGCTCTGATCTTATGTTTCTTTTTTTTTTTTCCCCCCTTTTTTGGTGATCGACTTAAAATTCATTTTGCAAAGGGCAAGCTTTTCATATGTAGAATGCTTGTAAGAATTCAACATTTATGTGGATGAATGCTTTCCATTTAATGTTCTAAGGCAGTTGAACTTTATGGTTGTCTGGAAATTATGTTTTCTGGCACTATTTTGAATTAGAGCTGTTAAGTTCTGGTGCATTTGTTCCTATTCCGAATGAAATTTCCAAAGAAACTAGAATTGCTGGCTCAGGTTTCTGAATAATATGCCATGAGATAAGATATTGGTTATTGATTTATATCGTCTAGTGAGACTACATGCTATATCAAGAATGAATTAGAATGTTTTAGAGCTGTTGAAAACATGTTTTACGTGACTGACTTTGCAGGTATATGGGCAGGAATGCATACTGTTAGATACTTTGACGGGAAAACATACAAGTGGGTTGGTCTAAGCCGCCAACCTAATATAATAGGAAAAGTATGTTTTAGCTATTATAGATGTTTTTATTTATGACTTATTATTATTTGCATGGTTTAAAGATCAATCCATTCACATCTTTCTGATTTCCGTCTCTCTCTATTGGATTGTTGTCCAACTTTGGCTTTCTTATTCTTCTTTCTCTAACATTCTGTCTCCTGATACTATTATCAGGTGAAAAGAACATTAGGCCAATTCACACCAGCACAGTGGGACAAGGATGAGTGGCATCCATTGCTTGGTCCATGGCGTTTTGTTCAAGTGCTTAGTCTCTGTATTGTTTTTTTGACAGTGGAACTAAATACATTCTTTCTGAAGTTTTGTCTCTGGATACCTCCACGGAACCCAGTTATAATTTATAGGTTGATTTTATGGTGGTTAATAGCAATTCCAACCATTCGTGAGTACAACACATACCTTCAAGACAGGTACATCCCCCATCTCTTGTCCCTAAGGGGAAAAAGGAGGACATAAGATTATTGTCTGCTTATGCATTGTATGTGATTAAATGGCATGCTCACACACACACACACACACTTTTCTTATGCTTCTGGCTATTCATCTAAACAATTCATTGTGAACTATCCAGGAAGCCAGTGAAGAAGGTTGGAGCATTTTGTTGGCTGTCACTTGCTATTTGCATTGTGGAACTTTTGATTTGCATCAAGTTTGGACATGGTAGGTCTCTTCATGTATATGTTCGTTCCTGCTGTCATTGACTGAAAAAAAATGTTCTTTAGTGTTGTGCTTTTTATTAAGTGAGTAAGGGGGATAGATCAGAGAGTATGCAATTTTTTGAAAAGGAGTAGAGGAAGACCAAGAGAACATTCAATAAAATCATTGAGCAGGGCCTTTGGATTAATAAGCTATCTAAAGATTTGGTTGTTAGTAGAGCACAATGACGTCATACGATTATGTAGCTAACCTATTTAGTGGAACAAGGCTTGTTGTTGTGTCATGATTTTTATAGTAGATTCCAAACAAATTCCTATATACTTAAGCAAAGTTTTTTGCCCCTTATTTTTTAAGCCAAAGATTTTCTAATAACCAATTTGTTGTGTTTCATTAGGTTTGTATCATAATTCAATGCCTTTATGGCTAGTTATCTTCTGGTCATCAGTTGGAGTAACTCTTGTTACATCCTTGCTTGTTTGGTCTTGGCAACTGCATCGGAATCTAGGGAAGAAGCGGCGATAACTTTACTGTTCAAAGTAGTGCATCAATTCTTTGATTCCTTCCCGATTTTGATGGTCATTCACATTCACGAATGACTTTCTACATTATAATTGTAAATGATGAGTTTCCTAGGATAGTGCTCCACAGTTTCTGAGCAAACAAATATTAGAATTTCGGCTGGCAGAAAGAACTTCTGATATGAGAGGCATCTGAACAGGTTTCTTTAAATAAGTGAGTTTGGTCAATTTCTTCCCTATAATGTCAATTCATTGGTTTCAGCTTTTTGATAAAGGGAGAACTCTGGGCTTCTTTTTTTACTTGTACTGTGTGACTAGAATTTGCATGATGCAAGGTTGGCCTTATGTGTTTAGAAGTGCATGTAATGCTGGTGCTTTCGTCATTGGACTTTTTTTGAGCTGCAAAATAGAAACGGGCCAATCTGACTAGAAAATCAGGAAGTATATTACTCTGTTTTATTTAGAAGCCATTTCCACCATATATAATTGGGATTAAGAAAAATTTAGCAATTTTTCAACTTTATGACTGTATTGGATATACTCTTTCTAACAAAGTAACAATCTACACAACAATAAATAAAGAATGAGATAATATATTTATGTTAACATTTTAATGATGCAACTTATAAGTAGGATATGCAAAATATTTTTTGGTCTTTTTCTTATATGCAATTCTGGTCCCTTATTATTTGTCACTTGGGGGGAGGGATTTTGGTCTTTTTTATTTATTACTTTTAACCTTTTTAATATTTCATTTTCAATTCTATCCCTATTAATTACAGTGAATGTGGAGAGAGAGAGGAATGAGTGAGAGAAAATATATTAGTATTTAGTGTTCTCCTTAGAACAAAAGTGAAAGATTTTATATATCTAATGTTTTTCTTAGTACGTGAGAAACTCATTAATGCGCCTCCTAAGGCGTTCAAATTAATTCTGGATTAATGCAATATAACAACACAATCTAGATCGTATTCTATACAATCTTAATTTATAACATGTCAAATGGAATCACATTGCATGACATTAAGTTTAGAAGATTATATTTTGAAAAATCACATTCGAGTTACTATTCACTTAGTAACCTTAATTTACAATTAATTTTAGAAAAATCAAAATGAGATGTTTTAAAGTTTTATTTGAAGCTCTTTCATTTCTTTACATGGGAAACATACTCATTAGTCAAATACCTTTATCAATGGGGCTTTATTTTTCGTATGAAAAATACTATTCATTTGGTTATTGTTTTATTTTTTAATTTTTTACCATAACTTTAAAAATTCATAACTTTTAACGCACAGTTTCAAATTAGGTGTTTTACCACTCCATTTGAAGCTTATAATAAGCTTACCAAATCTCATGGTCAGATTCTTTCGTTTGGTTAATTTTTCAAGAATATATATCCTTTTTACTTGTATTAACTTGTGGAATTTTGGCCAATCCTCTGTGTTTACCATTTACCATTCATACCAACTTATACTTATGCATCATTATACCTCCCAAGAGGTGGGAGCATTATCCCATATACCCGTCCATCAAGGTTTACATAACATTACATAAATATATTCAAAACTTTTAGTTACAAAACATAGTTGAACATATAATTGCATGACATTTCATGCAACTTTCCTTTAAGCCTCCATATTCTTCCTTTTTTGCCCCTTGAAGTGCCAATCTCTAGTGGTGTCAATTAGATATAAAAAGGGTTGAGATTTTAAAGAAATATCAGTAGTAAAGAACAACAATCATAATATTAACAATGCAAGGTTAATTCACGCTATATGTAATCAACATTTTCATGCATTCATATATAACATCATGCCATGAAAAGGGAGCACATAATCATACGATTAAACAACTCAACTATACATATTTTTAAGGCATAAATGTAAGGAGTTAAATACATCACAATATGGCAAGCTCAACCACATCATGACATAAAACACATAGCAAAACAACCAATACAAATTAACACTAAAATTGTAAGTTCTTGCTACCTTGGTTAAATCCTTGATTCTTGTTCCCTTGCCTTTGTTCTTGAGTCTTCTCTTGCCCAAGATTAATGCCTATCAATTATACAATAATTGCACTCTAAATATCAACTCAAACAACTTCATTAAAGCTCAATGTAAAACCCTAATTCTTTATCTTTAATTTTGTGGTTTTTGCATAATCTTTCTTAACATAACTTTCATATGCTTTTCTCATATGATTTTTCATGTAGAATCCATATTAGGATTTAGATTTATCAAAATTCAATTCCTTTCCCTAGATTCCATGTTGATTGAAACATAGGGTATGGTAATCCAAATTTTCATTTTCAATTTTAATGCTTCCAAACACATTTTTCTCAACATGATCCTACACAATTTCATCTTTTAAACTTATTGGAAGCATCAAATTAAATTGAATCAAACTCTAACCCAATGAACCCATGTTGGCTGTACCATGTACATGTATGTCACAAGATAGAATTCTTTCATAAACCAATTTAAAATACAAGTTTCTAACTATTTTCTATCATCTAATCCCTATGCTATCTTCTAATCATTCATAGCAAGTTATATGGCAATTTAGACAGCAAAGTTCCATGGAATCTTTAATTTTTATCCATCCAAATCAATCCCAAAACAATCACCAATCAAGGTAATTAAATTCTTAATGAAACCCTTGTACCCAAAAAAAAAAAATCTTAATGAAAGTCTTAACTTACCTTGAATGATTGCTTGGAGCTAATTTGGTTTTCTTCTTCCTCTTTCTCTTCCTCTTTCTTCAATTCAATGGCAAAACCTTCCCCCTCTTGTTTTTCCTTTTTGGCCGAATTATGGGTTTATGGGGGTATTTATAGATAAGTTTTGGCCTTAAGTTTCCTATTTTGCCCTTGGTGAAATGTTATAATTTTCATGTATACTTGTCCTTTGATCTTGTCTTGCCCTCTATGATCACGCCACATGTCATGCCACCTATTATCTATGTGCTTATAAAATAATATTTTATTATAAATTAACTACATCTAATTATGCCCATAGACAAATGGCACTAAAAACAGCATAAACTTTGGTTAATCTCACCGTAATTAAATTTTTCATGCATCTTGTCTGATCCAATATCTATAAAAATTTATTTCTTTGTGCCAATAAATTTCTTTTATTGAGGAAAATTTTCCTAATTTTTTTAAGGTCAAAATTTGACCTATAACTCCTTCTCTTCGAATTTTCTCGTAATCAATCTTTTTACCAATATAATTCAACTTTAAATATTTTTGAAGCTACCAAAGGTTGGGCATAATTTTAAAATCTAAAATAATCTCTCAAAAAAATTTTCCTCATTTTTTTCTAAATTATTGAGGCCTCTGTATATTTAAAATAATTCATTTTGAGCAATTTCCCTTTACTTAGCTAAAAATACCAATAATTATATAAAATTCTAAAATAAATTATTTTTATTTTATTTTCAGTTGTAGGCCTCAAATACTATTTTAGACCCTTTATTCTATTTTTTTAAAGTAATTTTTAGGAATTTTGGATATAGTTTCCAATTATGCTCTTTCTTGACCGGAACTTTTCAAAATGACAGTCTGATCCCTACCCAGGTTTTATGTCAATCGTCATTCCGTTTTTGCCTCTACTACATTGCTTGGCCTTTGGTTAGTTTTAAATTCTTCATTTACCTAATTAGAACTAACAGGATGTGACATATTCTCTATGCAGAGTCAATTTAAATTTGATTCTAAAACTAAGCAAACATGAAAGACACAATCAAAGAAAATAAAGAATGAAAAGAAATATTTTTTTTTGGATTTTAATTTTATAAAGAAAGAAAAATAAATAAATAAAATATAAAGAAGAAAATAAGCTAAAGTATATATTTGGTCCTTTAATTTTACGTAAGAATTCAGTTTGGTTCCTTAACATTAAAAAATATACTTTTAGTCCTTTAACCCCAAAATTATTAGTTTTAAATGATGATTTTTTTATATAACAATCATGGTTATTTTGAATATTAAATTTAATATGTTAGCATTTAATAATGTTTTATCAGCATTCAGGAGCTTAATATTATCATTTTTTGTTAACAGTTTTAGGGTTAAAGGATTAAAAGTTATTTTTAAAGTTAAGGGACCAAAATGAAACTTTATGTAAAGTTAAATGACTAAAAATATACTTTAGTCAAAAAAATAAACAAATATGATAGTGAATCTTCCTAAGGATAGATATGTGACTATCATCCTTAAGCCTAATTTATAATTACTCCTTAAATAGTTATTAACTCACTACTTCACACCTAATTCAACTTAATTTCATAATTTGTCCTCTAAAATAGAATAATTATTGATTAGTTCAAAATATATTTGATCCATGCATGTCAAACAATACTATTGTAGAAAAACATAAATCAATTATAAGAGGAACAAGATATATGAATGAAGAACATCAAATCATAAAATATAAGTTGAATCACAAAGAGTTCGATATAAAGATTATCAACTTGAAAATCAAAGTTTCAAATATGAAATTTCAAAACCTAGAGTTCTAAGAAATCATTAAATTCATAGAGAGAAATCAAACCACAACTCTCTAATTAATAATAAGAACTTAAGCCATAAGATCTATTCTCAGGATTTGCAGACTAGCCATACATGGTGATGATGGAAAGAATAAGAAGAAAGGAAGAAGCAAGAGAGTGGTGTATGTCATGTTTTATGAGTGTGACGTGTCCTCCATCTGCATCTTTTAGCCCTCTTTTTATAAACTAACAGGTGTGTTCCTTTAGGTAACATGAAGATGTAGAGATGCGAAGATAATCAAGACAATATAATTTAAATTCCTGATATTTGATCTTAATAAGTCTTTATCTTCCTTCTCATCTTTCTTTTCTTGAACATTATATTTTCTTTGTTCACAAGTGGCTTGATCTTAGACAGATAATGATTTGAATTCTAATCTTGATAGGAGATGATGATATGGATTTGATGAGGAGATATTTTCTTTAATTTGATTAGCCATTATATTTAATTAAATAAAAGATATTGTAGGATATTGAATCTTTTGCTTAATTAAATATAATGGCTGCACAAATTGATATAATTAAGGAATTAATGATCTTAGAAATTTCCAACATGCCCTTCATTAATACGTGTGGCCCCTTACTTGACTTGTTGAGGAGATAGCGTTATAAAATCACCACTCTACCCTTCCTTAATATGCAAGTCACATTTTTTGAGGTACGGGGCTGTAAAAGACTCGTAATTTGGGCTGAAGTGATGATTTTAGGGTCCAATTGAAGAGTATATGTAATAGGCTGATATAAATGGGTCTCAACCATGTTGTAAGTCAACCCAATTGCAGTTTTAAGT